GGAGTTAGTGGGGATGGGAATGGAGATAGCTTGCCTACTTGTCCCTTCCAGGACCATGTGGATTTGTGCATTGTTGTGGGGATTTTCTTTAGTTTGTTTTGGAGAAATGGGTATGCTGTTGTCCTCACAGGATTGTTGTGGGGATTAAATGATGACTAGGACCTGGGAGACCAGGGTTCAAATCCCCACTCGGTGATGAAGTTGAGTAGGTGACTTTGGGCCAGTCACTGCCTCTCAGTCTAACCTATCTCACAGGGTTGTTGTGGGCATTAAATGAGGGGAAGAACCATGTGTGCCACATGGTTTGAGCTCCTTGGAGGAAAAGGTGGGATATAAATGCAATAAATGAATAAGCAAATAAAATATACCACTACATCACATCATAGTGCTTAAAATGTATGGTGTGAATGTGGCTACTACCAACTCCATGCTTTAAGTCAACAACATGCCTTCATCCAAGCAGAACGGTCCATTTGTTACCCAAGCTTTCTATACCAAGTGCCCATAGTCTTAAACCCACAGGCAAATATACCCCTTTCAATCTCTCCGAAGCCTCATGCTCCCATTTTGATTAATGGTTTTCTAAAGTCATGCAAAAGAATTTTTTTTAAAAAAAATGATGCTTTGGGGGCAGGAAATTAAAAACAAAAAAGTTTATCTTACTCACAGTCCTTTAATCAAGTGCAACACAAGTCAAATTGTGGAGACCACTGATCCAGTTCCAAGTCTGCCTGGGTTTATTTTTGCTGACTCAAGTTTTCTGATATGGTTGCCAGATTTTATTTTTATTTAGAGGAATCTGAGAATATCATGGACAAGCTGAATGTTATGGATGCCCTCTTTAAGAAAAATATTAATCCAGCAACTATTATTTTCAATTTTGACAGATTGTCCTACTGAACACTTTTTGCTCTCCTTTGGAATAAAGGCTGTCACTTCTGGCAGACCCAATACTTGCCAGCTACCCTGTTGAAAAATGATGACATCAGCCTCCCAAAAGGAATCTAACTGGGGGTGGGGAGAGAGAGAATTAGTTCCCCATGTTACTCTGAATCATGCATTTTAGCTCAAAATAATAAATGGTCCTAAGCAGTCAGAGCTGGTCATAAAATGTGTGTGTGTTTTAGGTCTGGGCAATATATCATCCAAAACTGGTTTGAAGTTCATATTGTGATATTGGTTTCAGAATTTTTGACCTGGCAATATATCAAGACTCATGATGTGCAAAAATCACAATGTGGGGAAAACCGTGAAACCAGCCAATGCTTCTTTCAATTCCTGCATTGTGATAGATTGGTATATGTTTAGCTGGTGATATTTCACAATGTTGAAAACAAAACATGGCCCAGCCAGTGTGTGTGTGTGATTGCTTACCCCTTTTTCTGACACTGGGGCACAAACTGGGTCAGTCATTGTGAAAACAGAATGCTAGAGTAGTTGGGCTATTGGCCTGATCCAGCAGCCTATTCTTGTGTTCTCAAGAATATAACAAGGGTCTGTGTGAAGCACCAACTTCATCCCATACCCTCCAAGTGTCTCCTGTTTTGAGTGGGACATCCCAGGTGAACAGAGGCCACCCTGGCTTCTGACCCTAATCTGGGATGGCTCATTTGGGTTTCCATGTTCTGGCTGTGCCAAAACGTTGGACCAAAAGAGACACTTATTTGGTTCTGTACTGTGGCATGAAACAGTTGGCTCACACCAGAGCACGGGACCAAAAAACGGAAGGAGAACTTACCTTGACCCACATACCATCACTCTTCTCCCTCCTTCCATTGTGGCACTTTCAGATACATCTGTGGCACCAGAGGAAGAGACTGCACCACTCAGGGCAGCGCCTCCTGAGGCTGTGTAGGCGGGTGCAGCCTTTCCAAGGCAGAGGAGGAGAAGGGGGCAGGCGGGCTGGTTAGGAAGATGGTGGCAGCAGGGAGGGGGCAAGGGGGCAAGTAACAAGATCAACGGAATGGGGTGTGTGTGTGCCCTGATTTGCTCTCCCAAAATGTTGGGGGGCATGCCAGTTTAGTAACCTGAATTCTGTGTGTATGTGATAAGAGGGTCAGAAGAACGTGGCTCCTGGGTGAGGCCGGGGGGGGGGGGGTGCATTTAGTCCAGCCTCCTGTTCTCACAGTGGCCAACCAAATGCCCATTATGGGAAACCTACAAGCAGGATCTGGGCACAAGGGCTACTCTTCCCTCCTGTGGTTCTCAGCAACTGGTATTCAGAGGCATTCTGGCTTCAACAGTGGAGGAGAAACATAATTAGAGCCCTGCTAGATCATGCCTATGGCACATCTAGTCCAGCATCCACTTCTCACAGTGGCCAACCTGTCGGAAACTCGCAAGCAGGATCTGAGCAACAGAAACTCTCTCCCCTTGCTATTTTGAGCCAGGAATCAGACATCGGAACAGAAGTTCATTTTATACATCAACTCCCGAGTATCGTGAAATAAAGCTGCAACAAAGCTCCCTCCAGGAGAGTCCTGTTTCCAATTATTGAGCTGTATTTTACTGTTTTACGTCTTGCCACAAAAATGTCTCATTTTTCAAACACACACACATATCCCAAGGATAACATATTCAGTTCCATTCTTATTTCAGACATCATGATATATCGGCATGTGACATTTTTGAAAGCCAGCTAACACCCAACCCTAGTCAAGACTAGGCAAGGCAGGTAGGACTTGTGGTCCACACATCTGGAGAGAAGTGCTGTGGCCAACCTTGACCTGCATATACACCATGTTCTTTACTTGGCATATAGTCACTTACAGTTATTTGGGTCAGCTGCTTTGCCCATCTGGAGTTACCTGCTCATAACGACATAAAAAGAGCCTGTCTGCTGGATCAGGCCAATGGACCATCGAGTCCAGCATCCTTTTCTCACAGTGGCCAACTAGATGCCCCAGTGGGAAACTCTCAAGCAGGACTAGAGTACATGAGCCCTCTCTCCTCCTGTGGCTTCCAGCAACCTGAATTCAGAAGCATTGCTGCCTTATAGTAGCCACCGATAGCCTTCTCTTCCATGAATTTATCTCATTCTCTTTTAAAGCCATCTAGGTTGTGGCCATTCAGTTTTAGGTGAAATTACACTGAGCTCTCCAGCTCCATTCTTTCCTTGACATCCTCAGTTTCGTCGATGAAATTTTGGAGGATATGTTAAAAACTGGGAGAATTCTGAATTCTTATTTTATATATGCATGTGCTTCAGTAGGAAGTGGCTGTAAATGGTTCTGAATTCCAGTTGCTGGAAAGAGCAGGAAGGGAGAGTTCCCTTGTACTCGGGTCCTGCTTTTGGATGCTGGAATAGATTGCACTGGCCCAAACTAGCAGACTTATCTTATGTTCTAATGCACAATTTAGCATTTTCTCCCGTATGAAGAAACAGGCCTGTAAGAAATTGCACTCCCCTGATGGAGGCAGTATGCCTCTGAATACCAGTTGCTGGTTTTTTATGATTCCACAAGGCTCAGATAATATGGTTAAGTGAGGGAAGAGTCTCCATTTTAGCTCTGTTCAAAATGTACCAAGGAAAACCACTAGCTCCGATGGTCCACAATAGGAATCAAAGCTCCCAGGATCTCAAATGCAATTAATCTAAACACAAACATGCCTGGCAATGTTCAGTATCACACAAACAGAAGCCATATGCTTTAGGTGAAGAATGAGGGACCTCAACAACTCAGATAAGGAGGCAGGACATCCCCACCATCCTCTCCTAAAAGCCCTCTGATTGAGATGCAGCTGGATCCAAGCCCTGTCTTCTTGAATGCACTCTGCACACGCTTCCTGACCCTTATCAGACCCTAGCATTGACAGCCAGCAAGGAGTGGCCAGGGAGTCAGAGCACCATGGCCAAGACCTCCTTGGCAGAGTTTGCATTGCCTTTGGCTCCCTTTCTGCACTGCCTTCTTCTATACCTCTGCTCCAGATCTGTTTCCTGGATACCAGAGCACAGTCAAACAAACAGAGTGGAACAGGCTGTCTCTCACCCCTCAAGCAGACACCACCATGAGTCCCAGAATCCCAGCCCAGATAACAAATCTGGGTCAATGTCCTTTTGGATTATATCTTGCTGAGGCAAACTTTTGGCACTCAAGGAGCCAAATCCTACCCAAATACAGGTTACCTTAAGAACTTAGTTGTTAGTTGGCATCTGTTTGTCTCAGGAGACAATTGAAGAGTGCACCATCGGAGGTAAAGTCAAAGTGCTGGAAAGTTACAGCACCTGCTGTGGTTGCAGAGACCGATATGGGAGACACATGTTTTGTTGCAGCTGGGGCAGATGAGGGCATCTGTTTGTGCTGATGCAGATGCACCATTGCATTTCTTCTCTTTGCGCTCCTCCCAGTGGCCATTCCTACTCTGGCCTCTGCTATGGATACCTGACCTGACTGTCTGTCTCTTTATAAGGAGGAGCCTCGCTGCTGGATCAGGCAAATGGCCCATCTAGTCCAGAGTCCTGTTCTCACAGTGGCCACCAGATGCCTCAGTGGGAATTCTGCAAGCAGGACCTCAGTGCAACAGCACTCTCCCCACTAGCAGTTCCCAGCAACTGGTATTCAGATCCATACCACCTCTGACTATGGAGGCAGAGCTCAGCCATCATGCCTAGTGGTTGCGAATAGCCCTATCCTCCATGAATTTATTCAATCCTCTTTTAAAGCTATCCAGGTTGGGTGGCCATCATTGCCTTCAATGAGAGTGAGTTCCATAGTTTAACTAGTCGCTACATGAAGAGGGGCTTTCTTTTATCTGTCCTGGATATTCCAACATTCAGCTTCACACGGTATTGAGATCTCAGTCACACTCAGCTCTGTTATCAGCCTGTGAATTCCAAAATCTGTTGATTTAAGTTACCCATTCTTCCATTCTGAGGTTCTCCCCACCTCTACATCAGCTTGCACTATATGGTTTTCTTTTTTAACAGCCACCATGAATTTCATGAACCAGAATTTTAGCAGGAATTTCTCAATATGTACACACATCTGCCTGACATAAACTTTTTTTTTTTTTTTGCAAAACCATTTCCCCTATTATAATGGATGTTCATGCAAACATCCATTATAATAGGGGAAATGGTTTTGCAATGAATAGGAGAAATAGTTTTCATGCATATATGCAATGTATAAACCCTTTATCCTAGTATACACTAGGGCTGGGTGATATATAGTCCAAAACTGGTTTTTCATGATATCGGTTTCATAATTTTTGACCTGGCAATATATCATTAATCATGATGTGTGTGTGGGCACGCACTATGCAAAAATCACAATGTGGGGAAAACCGTGAAGGTTGAAAATGAGATGTCACCCAGCACTAGGCAAAGGTAAAGGGACCCCTGACCATTAGGTCCAATCGTGGATGACTCTGGGGTTGTGGTGCTCATCTCACTTTATTGGCCGAGGGAGCCAGTGTACAGCTTCTGGGTCATGTGGCCAGACTGACTAAGCCGCTTCTGGAGAACCAGAGCAGCGCACGGAAACGCCGTTTACCTTCCCGCCAGAGCAGTACCTATTTATCTACTTGCACTTCGTGCTTTCCAACTGCTAGGTTGGCAGGAGCAGGGACCGAGCAACAGGAGCTCACCCCATCGCGGGGATTTGAACCACTGACCTTATTGCTTGGCTGGAAAATGGGATTACAAAATTCAGGAAAGTGTGAATTGCAAAGGATGGCTGTTTTTCGGTTTGCATATTGTTTCAGAATATGCAAACTAGGTAGGTTTGTATTTATTTGTTTTGTTATGTAAAAATTATACAGAGCTTGGTAGTAAAAAACACACAACAACAACCTTAAATTAGTTTACAAAAAGTTAAAACAATAAGATTATCAGTAATAATAATTAACAGCAATAATTAAAGACTTTTGAAAAATAGCCTAAAAAACAGATCAAAACTTGCATCCATTTTCTAAGCATCTGGGTAAAAGTAAAGGTAAAGGTAAAGGTAAAGGGACCCCTGACCATTAGGTCCAGTCGTGACCGACTCTGGGGTTGAGGCACTCATCTCGCTTTATTGGCCAAGGGAGCTGGCGTACAGCTTCCAGGTCATGTGGCCAGCATGACTAAGCCGCCTCTGGCAAACCAGAGCAGCGCACGGAAATACCGTTTCCCTTCCCGCCAGAGTGGTACCTATTTATCTACTTGCACTTGACACGCTTTCGAACTGCTAGGTTGGCAGGAGCAGGGACCGAGCGACGGGAGCTCACCCCATTGTGGGGATTCGAACCGCTGACCTTCAGATCGGCAAGTCCTAGGCTCTGTGGTTTAACCCACAGCGCCACCCACGTCCTTTAAGCATCTGGGTAGTCTTGCCTAAACAAAATGTTTTTAGCAGGCACTGCAAATCGTACAGGAAAGAGTACAGCATGACATCAATAGGCAGGGAGTTCCAAAGTGTAGGTGCTGCCACACTAAAATACTGAGTTGCTATAAAAGCAGAACTGAATTGAATTTATTTGCCAGCTACCTGGGAGTCATCTGAGTCCTCAGAGTGCCTTTGGGATGCTGATGCAGGGCGTGTGACACTTGGACAATGAAGCTGAGATTGGACAAAGCCACGCAAATCAAACATTGGTAAAATGAAGCAAAATGGAGTTGTTTCTCCCACCTGCCCCAAAGATAGGCACAGAATACAATTCAAAGCAATAGGGGGTTGGATAATGCAGAAAGAGAGCTGTGGAGGCATGTACAGTGGTAATTTGAGCTGATGCAGAGAGACTTGGTCACAGAAGACGGTCCAGTGTTCATTGTAGCATCAGGTGTTGTACAACTGAACTATGGCTACTCTCCTAAAAATAAAGTAAAATCCTCGTCCCTATGGTTCTGACTTCCTGTGTGCAAAGTAGGTGCTCTACCCACTAAGCAACAGCCCTATCTATCCCAGGATCCCCATCCCCAGGCAAGTGTTATGCTGCAAGCCATACAGTGGACTCTATCCAAAGTCACAACAGGCAGAGGGATGCTTTCAATTATTCACCTGATATGTTTCAATCACATCCTGCTCAGAACAAACACTTTGCTGGGAAATCACTAGAATTAACAACACAGCATTGACTGAGGTTTCCACGCCTCAGAATGCCCATCTTTGGAGAGGGAGTCTGTCGCCGACCTCAAATCTCGACAAGCCCCAGGGCTGCCCCTGTGACATCATCACCTCTCCAGTTTCCCAAGCCTATCTTGACACATGGGGAATGACCCAAGTTAAACAGAAGCAAATTCACATCCACAGTGACTCAGCCAAAGGCATCTTAACAGTATACCCCATTTGTCTAGAGGCTGAGTCTGTTTCCATCTTGGTTGAGTCTAATCTCTTTCCACAGCTCCTTTAAGAAGGGTCCAGATAACCCAATGACAGTCCTTACTCTTTTTAAGGTTTCATACACTCCAACATTCCTTGGATGAAAATAGGGACACTTCTCACTCCCCATTCCCCGCCCTGCAGCTCCTGCAGCCAATCGGAAGCCGCGGAAGCCTCGTCGAACATTTTAGTTCCAAAGAACATTCGCAAACTAGAACACTAACTTCCATGGTTGTCGTGTTTGGGAGCTAAAATGTCCGAGTACCAAGGCGTTTGGGATCCAAGGTACAACTGTACATAAATTTTCAAAAGGGGCAAGTTTAGACACGGATGTAAAGGGTTTGGGGGGCTTTTAAAAAATAAATAAAAAATCTAGATTCCTTGTGCTCTGCTCCGCTCCCCCTTTCTTCTCACCCAGGGCAGCCCTGCCCTCTGCCTGCCCCTCAGAGTCAGCATGTCACACGGGGTGGGGCCTCAGCGGCCGCAGCCTCTCCTCACCCATTCTCTAGCAGTCGCTATGAGCTCCCCATGGAGCAGCGGCCATGGAGAGACCATGCAGAGGCAGCGGGAAGTTCCCTTGCCACCTCTTGGGACAAGTGCCAGCTCCTCCTCCTTCTCCCCAAGCTCAGCAGTAACCAGAGGCGACTGTAGTCCCTGGTGCACAATTTGTGTGGGGGCAATCCAGGCACCCCACACATCCATAGATCCTCATCCCACCTCACCTGCCACAAGGGGTCTCTGGGCTCGCCGCCGCTTCCCCAGCCCCCTCACTGAATGGATGCCCAGCCAATGTTGGGGGGATTCACTCTCCATGGGCCTTATTGGCTAGATGAGCTCCTCCTTGGATGGGCAGGCAGATGGCGCAGTGTGGCCCCACTTGGCTCCAATGGCAAGGGCTGGGGTGGAGTGCAGGTTCCGTGAATCCTCTACACCCTGCTTGCGCCCGTCCAACAGCATTGGTGGCAAGCATTGGGCTAGTGTGGTGTGTTCTATTCACCCTGTGCACCCCACCGTTGTCTTTTGTAATTCTGGGACTGTCCCTGGAAAATAGGGACACTTGGAGAGTATGAGGTTTCCCTCCCACCAGCATTTTATTTTATTTTATTGCAATGTTTGAAGTGGGTCCTGAGTTAAAGGCTAACCCATCCCTTCACATTGTTGAATGCTTCTGGGATTTCCCATGGGAGAATTTAAGACACCTCTTTGTGAAACACAAAAAAGAGCCTGGTTCCTAGATCACTGTTCCAGCATCCTGTTCTCACAGCGGCAAGTGTGCCGCCTTGCCCCCGCAATTGAAGGGGCTGATGCCATGCGATGTGCATGAGTGACATCAGCATGCCATGTGACACAATGACATCATGCGCGCAGATCGCATGATGTGCTGACGTGTCGCGCATATGCCACAGGGCATGCGTGAGTGACACAAGTATGCCACATGGACTGCTTGATTAAGGTAAGCATGTCATGCGGCATGCTTTCACTCCCTTGCAGATTTTGGGGAGATGTGGCCCCCTGCCTTAAATTAGGGGGGACCCCAGGCCCCCCTAGATGGTGCCTATGCACAGAGGCCAACCAGATGCCCTGATGGGAAGCTCTTGCATGCAGGACACTCCACTTGAAAGTTTTTCTTCTGAATATCATTTGCAATTGAGAAGCTGCATTAAAAAAATATAACCATTTAGCCTGCAGCCTCTGGTTGCAGATTATGTGCTTTTGGCTAACAAAGTCATGGCAAAGAGCTAAGGATGAGAAATGCATCTTGTACTACATATGAAAATATTTCCAACAACTGCTGTCTGCAGAAAGCCTAAAAGCTGTGTGGGCGGGATTCTCCCAACACAAAGCTCTATTCGGTAGTCGCCGAGGGTTTTAACTTTGTAAGTTGGCACCCTACAGGACCAGGACCGCAAGCCTGTAATATTAGGTCACTCCCCAGAGCCCCCCCTTCCCCCGCCCATGCAAGCCTACTCAGAGCCTTTCATCTGTCACATCTGGACGCCTGGCACACAGTGGGGGTAAAGCTGAAGGAAATGGGAATCACATTTCTTTCCCTTCAGTTTCGTTTATTTTGCAAGACAGCTTGGATTTGGGGTGGGTGACCAAGGCCACATTTCACATCAGATGCCACTTTAAACATTCATGGCTTCTTCTCCTAAAGCATCCTGGAAGCTGTAGTTTTTTCGGGGTGGTGAGAGGTGGTAGGAGAACCCCACTTCTTCTCCCAGAGCTACATTTCCCAGAGTTCCCCGTGAAGAGGGATTGACTGTTAAACCACTCTGGGAATTGTAGCTCTGAGAAGAGGAACTGGGGTCCTCCACAGCTCAATGGCAGAACACCTGCTTTGCACAAAGAAGGTCCCAGGTGGCATTTCCAGATAGGTTCAGGAATGCCCAGGGAAGTAGCGGGTGGGGGAGCTGCTGGCTGCTCATGCCACCCTCCCTGAGCCAGCCCTGTACCACTTTAGGAGGCTGGGATCTAAAGCTGCTCGGGGAAGGCAGTGTGAGAAGGATACTATGTGCCCTTCAATCCCACCCTCACCCTCATGCCGCCCTCCCCAGATCCCAGACTCGAAAAGTGGCTCATGGGTTGGTGTTGCTCTAGCAGCATCAGCGGCGAGGGCTGGGCTAGCTCGCAGCAGGCTCTGTTTGCCCTCTGCACCCTCCGGTACATGTGCACCACCCAGGGGCTATGAAAACATGCTCTGCCCCTGCCTGAAGCCCTGCAGAGCTGCTGCCAGCTAGCATAGATGGTACTGAGGTAGCTGGACCAGTGCTAGAAAATGGATCCCTGTGTTCCTGTA